TGATAAAAGTGGTTGTTTTCTAGCTTTTTTTTATGTGTATCACGGGCCATTTATGACTTATCTGCATCATTCTAATTTTCTGACAGATATCTGTGGTTCCTGCAAAAATGGAAATGATTAACAGTATATGACATCAATATTACCGTATATAATGCGCAGTTTCTAACCCCAAAATGAGCCCCTAACAAAAGGGGTGCGCACTATACACAGTGAAATAAATTTTGAGTTTTTTTCCCCTTCGAAAATACTGCGAATAGATGTTGTGGATCCATCATTTTGTCTTCCTTCAATGCCATGTTGTTATGTTTTTAAGATCGTTTTGGGATTTATATTAACTCATTAGACTTTAATGTATTTTATAAATATTTTGTAAAATATTTGAAATTACTAGACTGAAAAAGGTATATTAATGTGTTATTTGAACGCAATTAATTCCATAAAGAGAGACGTCCTACAGTGGTTACAAAATATAATTTGATCACGGTCAAAGTAATTTGTTTGGTTTTTATAGTAATAATAACGAATATCATGTTGTCTGAAATTGTTGTCAAGTATTGCATGAATTTGAATAGCTTACCAGATATACAGGCTTTTAATATTATCCTTCGTGCAAATTGATGTTATCAGTGTCCCCAATACTAATAATAAATTTAGAAAACCTCTACTCAATCCTTTTAAATTTCCTAGATATTGGCATGGGAGAACTTAACATTGAAATAAAGTATTTTAAAGGGACAGGTTTGCCATCTGTTTGACCAATTGTATCTTAGTCTCAGACATGGGAATTTTTTTTAGCTAGGCCAATCAGTTATAGTGTTCACAGCTCACAAATTGACCCTTCAAATCCATATGTGTCCAGAATTATCCGGCTTTGAAAGTTAAAAAGACGACTCTTCATTTCTTGTGTCTCTGCTATATATAGAAAACAAAAGAAACCGAAAGTTCAATTTCTAATTTAAGATATTTTTGAAACAATTATGCGATGTACGTTCATTTGTAACTTACTTCTGAAGACTATTTACATATATTCAAGACTCAAATCGACCCCCAAAAATGGCATACCTGTCCCTTAAG